ACGTCATGTAGCTATTAAATGGCAGTGACAAAATCTGCCTCCAGGTCAGTGTGACCCAAGAGTCTGCACCATACCACTTAACCAGCACCACACCACCTCCTGGGATATAGCCAAATCCTCTGTGCACATCCTCTCTCTTCCTTCTTCAAAACATTATTTTCATCCGATGGCTTTGCTCTCGGCTAATGTACCAATCTCGTTGAACTAAGCTGCTGGGAGTCATTTATGCCTCCCTGAGAATGCGTGGCAGACTCTTCCTGAGGAACAACTGCATTTGGATTGTATGGGAGATGGACCCTGGAATCTTGAGGAAGGCGTGAAAAGGCAGGAAGGGGCCCAGGAGTGAGAAACTAAGCCTTCCCCTCAACTTCACATTCCTTCCTGCAATGCTGCTCTGGCCTTTGTGCACGACGATTCCTAGATGGCATTTCCACAGATGTGTGCTACTTAATACATGGGCCCTTTCATACCTTATTTACCTGGGGTTGCGGGTGTGCTCTGATCAAAGCCAAACCAAACTCACTGCTGTCAGGGCAATGCCAACTCCTAGCGACCCTATAGGACAGGGTAGAGCTGCCTCTGGGAGTTCCCAAGACTAGAACTCTTTGAGAGAGTAGAAGACTCTGTCTCTCCCTTACGGAAGGGCTGGTAGTTTCCAACTGCTGACCTTTCGCATCACAGTCCAACGAGTAATCATGATGCCACCAGGGCAGCTCCTGTGGTCTGATCAAAGGTGACCTTAAACCTGTATCCTGACCCCCACCCACCAGAGAGCCAGGAGAGGCAGCCAGCTTAGGCACAAGTCCCAGCTCATTCCCTTAAGAAGTCGACCCTGCTGTGCATATTTAAAATCCCTAGCAGATGGAGGCAGGATCGCTTGTTGGAAAGACTTGGAGGAGTCCCTTCTGCCCCGTCTGGGTCTATTTGCCAAAATAAATGACATGTATCAGGGCAGGGCATTGGTCCAAGCCCATTGAAATTCTGCTGGCAGGCCAAACAGGGATAGTGTTTCAGATTGGTTCTGTGAAACTACCCGGGTTAGGGAGAAAGATGATGTGAGCATCTGGCGGACCCAGAGGGCAGGAGGGAGGGCCGCCATGAGGACCCCCTAGGAAATCTGCCACTGGAAAACATGGAAACAGTTAGGAGCAGACAGCAGGTTGCCTGGTTTGAGTCCCAGCCCTACCCCACTTGCTGTTTGACCTAACCAATTCCTTACCCCTCCCTCGGTTTCATTCCAACTCCCATGTATAAATTAAAGCCTGGATTTGGGTGGGGAGGGGGGTCACAGAGAAGCCTTCCAGCTCACACATTCTATGACTTCGCTGACAGTAGTTTGATTTCTTTTTCTCTGGAATCACAGAAGCCCACCTAGCCACCTGTTTATCGGTAGCCTCTATGATCTCACACTGCCCTCTGCTGACCATTCCGAAAAGTGACGTTGATGGCGCCTTTGGGGAAAAACAAAACAAAACAAAAAGCGGGTCCTCATTAACTTAGTGTGAAATACACCAGGCACCAGGCACTGAGTCAGAAGCCCTGTGCATGGAAACAAGACAAGAAAAAATAATTTTTTAAACACCACCCAGCTATCACCACAGAGCAAGCCAATCTAGTGTTGGCTGATGAAACAACCCCAAAGTCACTTGCCCTCGAGTTGACCCTGACTCCGAGTGACCCTATATAAGGCTTCCAAGGCTGTGAATCTTCACCGAAGGAGACAGCCTTGTCTTTTTTCCATGGAACACCTGGTGAGTTTGAACTGCTGACCGTGTGGTTCTCAGCCCAATGCATAGCCCATAGTGCTACCAAAACTCAAACACAACAACAAAAAACCCCTCCATGTCAGACTTGTAGCGACCCTACAAGATAGGACAGAACTGTCCCCCTGGGAGTTTCTATCCCTGTTTACAGGACTCCTTCAATCCTTCCCCCAGTCCCACCCCAAAACACACACACGAACACACACGTCTCATCTTTTTCTTTTACCATCTTCATTTGTTCGTGATGCTCAATGCAACTGTCTGAAAGGGCTGCATGCCCTTCTCTCGTGTCCTATGACTACAGAATACGCAGAAGGACCTGGAACCACGCTGAGGAGGCAGTTCTCCATCAGCACTGCCTTGGAAGCCAGGAGCCATAGCCCACAGACCCGCCGAGCCTGTACAAGTTGTAGCCAAAGTGCTGTCATGCCTACCAGCTCAAATACCTGGGGCCAGCCTCGAAGAACTACACGTTCCCCCAAGGGGCACCCACTTTCCCTTCAAGGACCCTTTTGGAAAAAGAATGGGAATTTTTTAAAAAAACGCAGGCCATGAGTTCTTAAGAGACTCACTTTCAGCTCCTTGGCTGTGTGACTACGTGGCAAATTCCACATGCCCCCCTCCCCCGCCACACACACACACACATACCAGCCAAGAGAAAAGAAGCAGGCCGTGGAATTTTGCCTTGTCTGGATGGAATAAGGTTTCCTGTAACGTTCAGTCCTGGAATTTGCCACATTCCCAAGCATCCTTGCTTATCCTTTTGCACCCCATACTCGCAACAACCAGGGACAGGATCTGGACGGTGCCAGCCCCTGTACCCACTGGGGCACAGCTCAACTCCTCTCATATTGTGGGCGTGATGGGAATTGGGCCACCCTACCACCCACTGTCTCAGTCGATGTCACATATTTTACCAGGATCTCCAGTCCCACCCCTCTGCCCATACTCCCTATCCCTTGATGTGGGAACGCTTTTGGTTAGGACTCAGCTTTGGGTCGAGCGTCAGTGCCCTGACTGGATCATCTCTTCTAGCAATAACATGACCTCGGACACACATCCTCTGCCCCCCATCCTCCCACCAAGGAATCCCCTCTTCCCCAACAGCTGGTTCTTATCTGCTTCCCTTGTTCCAGCCTCAGGCAGGCTGCTCTGGCCTCACGCTGACACACATTTGTTCTCTTGAATGCATGTTGATGAATTTCAGCTTGGAAAAATTGCTATTCCCCTGTTCCTCAACCTCTCTGGGGTCCCTATTTCCTACCACATCAAGTCTTCAACTTTCCAGCCTGGCTTTTCTATGCCCACTTCAACTGGGGTCCACTTGGTTCTCTCCAGTTGGGCCCATGACTCTGCACCCCGAAACCACGGACAGAAAGTAAGAATTCCACATGCCCTCCAAGGTCAATTCCTCTCTGCGCTTCTCCCACACTTCCGATCTGTTCCAGACTGGTATGGTTCACAGTCCTTTGGAGTACATTAGTCTTGAAAGCTAGGCCCACACTTTTTATGATCATTTTATTGGGGGCTCTTACAGCTCTTATAACAATCCATATATCAATCATAACAAGCATATTTGTACATATGCTGGCTATATCCACATTTGAAGACAACTTCACTAACCTACTACAAGGCCCTCTCCGTAGTATTGTTTCTTTAAAAAGTCTCGTTCTTTCTCTTTTTGCCTTCGTTTCTTTCCACGGATTGGTTTTTGTCAAAAGTACCAGAATAAACCTGAGCACTCATTCTGACTACTAACAACCCTCGTAGGGTTTCTGAGGCTTTAAATCGCTCTAGAAACAGAGCAGGGAGTTGGTTTCATCTTTCTCCCAGAGAGCAGAGTGATGGGTTTGAATCTCCAACCCTTCATTCACCAATCCAGCGCTTCTCTGACACCATCCCCAGGGCGTCTTCCTTCCTAAGCAGGAAGGCCTATGAAAGCACTTGCAACCTATAACCTGCAGGCCACGGGCCTGATGTTGGGGACGGTTGATTGGTGGGTGTTGTCTCAGAGAATTGCATCTCCGTGGGCAGAGCATCTCTTCCTGATTTGCAAGAGTCCTGGGTCTTATGGGTCTAACTGACATTTGAAAATGGTACACAACTGGTGGCCACTACGTGCATCAGTCATGCTTTGGGCCTTTTAAGAAGTAAATCTTGAAGGCGACTGGATATTAAAGGGCATGTTTAATGGGCCTTCGTCAGAGGTTTGTTGTGTTTACTTGATTTTTTTTTTTTTTTTTGGTCTCGCTGAACAGTAGGAGATAGGGGACAGTCAAGAAAGGGGGCCGAGAGGTAGAGATGGAGGCATTTAAGGAAATTGGCTTTCTACCTGAGATCGTGTTGTGGTTTCTGAGAGGTAATTCACAGTACTAATGGTTTTCATTTTGCTGCCAAGAAAATTTCAGTCTCTACAGGGATTTGTTCTAAATGATAGACTAGCCCACCTCGGTTGCACCTACTGGGGTTAATTCACTGTCTCCGTCAGCTTGAAAATGTCAGCCTGAACTCTCAGATTTAATTGTTACCTGACACTTTACAAGCAGGGCATTCAAAATTTCAGGGTGCTCCCTCTTGCTATCATAATTGATACTTAATGGATATGTTCAGGCTCCTTGGATTTTACACATTCAAAGTGGACAGATGCAGGGAGGGGGTGAGGAGAGAAGAGAGCAAATAAACCGTGTGTATGTGTGTGCACACGTGCACGCGCACGCATGTGTATCTATGAATAGCTGGTTCCAGGTGCATCGACAGGGTCCACCAAAGAGTCCGCTCTTGGCTCTCTGGCTTCTTCCTTCTCTGGAGCAATGTTCATGCGGCCCGGCCTTTCTGTGCGCTGCACTGCAAGGATGTGGTTGGGCATTTGGACACAAGTTATGAAAATGTCACGATGCTCTCCAGCATGCTGTTCATTCACTATGGTGACAATCTGATGGATGGCCTGGCATTAACTAGGAAGAGGACAACATCATCCAGGCTGAATAACTAATCTCCCAAGTACAAAATTGAAGGATCTCGGTGCACATGAATCTTATTAAATGTGCTTGTAAAATGCGTTCCCTCCAAATAAGCTTAGCAGCCCCGAAAATAGCCTTTTTCTGATCCCTGTCTGGAACTTTGGCATGCCTCACAGATCTCTAAGCCAAAATTATTTCGCCAAGTGATGACCATGTTTTTTGTGTCTGGCAAGTGGGGGAATGTCAATGTGAAGGCCACTACTTCTGTCTATTTCAGGGCCGACCTGGACCAATTGGAATGCAAGGTCCCACAGGTCCAGAAGGATTTGCTGGCCTGGCTGGATTGTCTGGGTTGAAAGGAGAAAGAGGCTCCCCAGGCTCTCTGGGACCTTATGGACCGAAAGGAGAGAAGGTAAGAGTGTCAGCGCTTCATTTTTCTCTCCTGCCTGAGACTCGTATGGAAAGTTAAGAGGTACCAATCTCAGTTCTGCTCATTTATGGAAATACTACTATCCCGGAATCCCTTGGCACCAGGCGTCATCACTCGAATGAGAGAGGAGCTGGAGGGTGTGCTGCTACTTTTTGCTCATTTTTGGAGCAACTCTTATGGCAGGCAAATGTGAGAGTTACTCGTTAAACAAGTGAGCTTGGGGATGGTGGGAAGTCATTTGGGTTTTAAGCATATCTGGGTCAGAAGTCCCATCAGCTGGATTGTAGAGATCAAGAATACAATCCAGGATTGTGGTGAAGATTGTCCAATGCTTCTTAATGGGAGTGAACTATCAAGTCATATGATATGTGAATTATAGACCAATAAAACGGTTGGGAGAAAAATCAATTACCGTATATTCTCGAGTATAAGTCGAGTTTTTCAACACATTTTTATGCCATTTTTGTGGTAAAATCAGGTGCCTTGGTGGATATTCAGGTCGGCTTATACTCGAATACATATGATACTTAATTGAAAAATAAAGAGAATATAAACAATCAAAGAGACTAAGAAGCAAGGGGCCAGAATGCTTGTAAGCCACCTGTGCCACAAAGATCGGGAAAGAGCTGCATGGTAGCAGATGGATGCGTTGAAGTGGCCAGCTTAGCAACTCTATAAGTTCCCAGAATGAGAACTAGTCTCAGAACGCAGACATATCCAATATCATAGGTAGAGTAAAACGATCCCTTGGAACTGGAATAGGGAATCATACAATAACTGGTGGGGGAAAGGTTACAAAGTCCTTCTTAACACCTGAATCAGGGAATCACAGGAACGATCACACTGATCTAATGGTGATCTGATGGACTGACTCTTATAGTCCTTTTCCCTATCCCTTTCTTTAGGGCCCCATTGGAGCTCCTGGCTTTCCTGGCATCAGTGGAATTCTGGTGAGTGCATCCACAGAAGCATTTTGAGCATCTACTAGGCTCTGCCTCATAGCTCCAGAACAGCCTGTCTCATGCAAGAATGCTTGCAGTGATGTACATGCCGTGGACTTCAAATGCCACCATGTATTGAGGTTCCCTTGGGTCAAGGTACAGCCAGCTCTAAATCAGGTGGTTGAGGGATGACAAGATATGTGCAGCCATGAAAAAAAAAAAAAGCATCAATCCCTTAGCCTATGTAGGTTAGGCCTTATGGGTTGAGGAGAGCTTTGGTTTGAGGTTATAAGCTTTGGTGTAGAGACAATGTCACACCAGAATCTAGATCTCCAATGTACCCAGGAGGGCATTGTGTCAAAGGGGCCTGCAAAAAGGAGGATGGTAGAGAGGTAATAAATTACATTTAAGACAAGGCTTGAAGATAAACAAGCAGCCATCTAGCTCAGAAGCAACAAAGCCCACATGGAAGAAGCACACCAGCCTGTGTGATCACGAGGTGTTGAAGGAATCATGTATCAGGCATCAAAGAACAAAAAAATCCTATCATTGTGAATGAGGGGGAATGCAGAGTGAGGACTCAAAGCCCATCTGTAGGTAACTGGACATCTCCTTATAGAAGGGTCGCGGGAAGGAGACGAGCCAGTCAGAGTGCAGAGTAGCAACAATGAAACGTACAAATAAAAAAAAAATAACATACGACTTTCCTCTAGTTCTTAAATGCTTCCTCCCACCCACTGTCATGATACCAATTCTACCTTACAAATCTGGATAGACCAGAGGATGTACACTGGTACAGATAGGAACTGGAAACAGGAAATTCAGGGAAGATGATCCCTTCAGGACCAGTGGTGAGAGTGGCGATACCGGGAGGGTGGAGGCAATGTTGGGGAGAAAGGGGAAACCAATCACAAGGATCTACATATAACCCCCTCCCGGGGGGACAAACAACAGAAAAGTGGGTGAAGGGAGATGTCAGACAAAATAATAATAATTTATAAGTTATCAAGGGTTCATGAAGGAGGGTGGGGGAGGGAAGGGAAAAAATGAGGAGCTGATACCAAGGGCTCAAGTAGAAAGCAAATGTTTTGAGAATGATGATGGCAACAAATGTACAAATGTGCTTGACACAAAGAATGGATGTATGGATTGTGATAAGAATTGTACGAGCCCTCAATAAAATGATTTTTAAAAAGAAAAAAATACTTTTAAGACATTGTTTTCTCGTATTATGTTCCAGAGAAACCTTATTTTATCTACGTGCTCACCCACAGAGAGATGTGTTCTTATACACAACAGCACTCTGTGCCATGCAATGTAGACCCTAATGTCTACTCTGTACTATGTTCTGGGAAATAGCTCGTGTGTGGCACTCTTTTTTTTTTTTTCAAAAAAACATTTATTGAGCACTTACTCTGTGCCCCAGACTGTGTCAAGCACTGGTGAGGACGATACAATGGAGGCAAAACATAGGTGGCCATTTCATTTTATGTGCTTCCAAAATAGATGGCGAGGCCTTTGCACACAGGAGTCACATTCTTCGTCTGCTGGGATGGTGGACAGAACTGAGCGCATGTTGTCTCACAGTGGATCCATGTTAGGGGAACACAAGGCAGTGGGCTCCACCTTCTGTCCAAAGCCAAACATGGTCTGCTTCTTCCCTCCCATCTCCTGTGCTTTTGCCCTACTGGTTTTCTGGTTTTTTTCCTTTCTCTCTCTCTCTCTCTCTCTCTCTCTCTCTCTCTCTCTCTCTACATATATATATATATATATAACATTTTCTTCCACTTCAAAACTATTACGTGCCCATTATAGGAGAAGAAGAAGGTACATGAAATTACAAGGAAGGAAAAGTACTTATAATTGTACCATCCAGACAACCATTAGTGACATCGTGGTACATTCATTTCCTTCTTAGTAGTTTCTCTTCAGCCCCATCTCATTTTAGAGTGAATTTCCCTTTAGTTTTGACAAGTGTCCAAAGACAGCACCCAACATCTCTTCCCATTCCACCAAGCCCAAGCCCTTAGCTGCACCAACACTGGAGATTCCACAGTAACCTTTTGCCAGCCTTTGAAATGGAATCTTTGGAACTGGCTAGCTATAATTTTTTTTCTATCCCTCTGAATTTCGCTGTATATTTCATCCTTACCCTGGACAGTGTTTGGTCTACAGTAGTGGGTTCCAACCCTGTTTAGATGAACAGAATCTTGTGTGGAAGCTCAGCATAGAGAAGACAATAAAAAGTGGGCTCCTCTGCTGCAAGAAATGGCTTAGAGACTTCTTTTCTCCTCCCTACAACCTTTGAAGGGTTTTTCTGAACCTGATCAAAGCACAGTTTTGTAAGCCCTTCATTTTTCTTCTAGTATCTGGGAATGGGATTCAAATATCTTTGTGCCAACTTGTAGGTATGTCTTGAACACCTGCGACATGCTAGTACTCTACTATGGACGATCTAGAGGAAACTGATAGGGCTTCGCTCAAAGATCTTAACATTGGATCCATTTTCTTCCCAGGTCTTTTTTTTTTTTTTTTGCTTCAGCTGTTGTTTATTGACATACAGGTAGGCTCTATAGCAACAGGCCTGGAGGTGGCTGCGGCAGGGGTGGGGGGAGAATGGAAGGTGGTGGAGTGGTTTTGTCTGCACCATTGTTTTTGACAGCTGAGGAGAGTGCAGGAACTCCTGTCCAATGCACAAGTAACACGTGGGAACGGGGGAGACTGAGAGGCTGGGGGAGCAAGTTCAGGGCCAGGGTCAGAGTCTGCTTGCACTGGAGCCACTGCTACCCCGCCACCCTCAGGCATCTGGCTCTTGCTGTCTGCTGTCCCCAGGCCAGGGCGGGCATTCTCTGGACACCCATGTTCTCCAGGGGCTGGATGGAGCACACAAAGGGAGGGAGCTTGTTGACCTCTGGCATTCCATCATCACGGAGCCCCGAGTCCCGCAGCCCCCATTCTTCCCTGGCTTGGGTATCTTCCCAGGTCTTAAAGACGGTTGTGGATTTTAGAGCATAGAAGGCTCGCTTACCTTGTATTTGTTATACTTGTATCAACAAATCCACTGTCAGATTTACTCAACTATAGTGTCTGTGAAATGCCCAGCAATGAGCCAGGACAGAAATAAGTGGATGGGGTTGGCCATTTTCTCCTGGCTGTGTTCCTCTGACCACTTTAGCCAGTCTCCAATCAGAGTGGGTATCTTGGAAGCCAGTGGGTGAGGGAAGCTGTCGAACAGGTGGCAGCCTCTTCCATTCCTTCTGTGGACCTGGCTTTGCTGGAGATGGGGGTGGGGTAGGGGTGGGGAGATTTGGAGTTGGCAGTCACAGCGTGCTCTTACTCCTGTATTCTCTTTGTAATGGGTGCTGAAGGAAGCAAATCCTGGGAGGCAGAGGCTGTTTCCAATTCTAAACTGGAATTTGCCTCAGACAAGAGCTGGACACTTTGTCTCCAACTTTTGGCCAAGAAATTCCTTGCCAGAATTGGTCCATTTTCTCTGGGGATTCATTGCCTGGTAGGATTAGTTGCAGCTGGCCAGACTTCTCCAAAGGAGCTTCTCCAAATGAGCCCTGTAAAAGTTCTCACCCTCTTGAGCCATCCTTCCTCCAAAGGTTCTATACATATGTTTTTTTTCTTTCTTCTTTTTTTTTTTTTGCTATAGCTTCAGGTTTCAAGTCTGACTCCATCCACGAAACCTGTCTCCTTTTTCCCTTCCATCTCTACCAGCTATTCAAGACATCATTTTGGAGAATTTTCTCTTAGATGCTTTCCCCTATCTTTCATCACTAACCTCCCAGGAACCTTTGCTGTCGGCACTACACTGTCTAGCTCCGTTCCATATATGGCCACATGCATGTATACTCTTGAGTGATAATCTTATTCCCCCAAATAGAATACCGGCTCCTCGAAAGCCCAGGCTTCTGTTCCTCTCAAAGGCTCCAGGGCCTCTAGAATTGCACCTGGCCTGCGGTGGTGCTGGTGGTGGTCAGGTGCCCTCAGGGTGGTTCGGACTCATAGTGACCCCATGTCCAACAAAAGGAAACATTGGTCAGCCCTGTGTCAGCCTCACAGTTGGTATGTGTGAGCCCATTGCTGCAGCCATGGCTGCACTCCCTCCGGTTGAGGGCCTTTGTCTATTTCACTGGCCCTCTACATGTCCAAAGTACGTAAGATGAAGTCTCACCATCCTTGGAGCATCCTGACTGTCCTTCTTCACCAACACCACGCTTCAAAGACGTCACTTCTTACTTATTCATAGTGCGACTTTCATCCGCATAGAAGATGACTGAAAATAGCACGGCTGAGGTCAGGTGCACCTTAGTCCTCAAAGTAACCTCCTTGCTGGTTAACATTTTAAAGCGATCTTGTGCAGGCAATTTGCCCAATGTCATACTTTGACCTGCCACTTCCATGGGCACGGATTGAAAAATTGCATTTCTGACAACTTACATCTGTTCTCCATTTAGTGCTGTTAGCTGCTATCATGTAGGCCCTTGACTCAGGGTCCCCAACTACACAACAAGAGCAGACCCTTGTGATCCAGAGGGTCTTCATTGGCTGAATTGGGGCAGTAGCTTTTGTCCAGGCTCTTTTTCCTAGTCTGTCTCTTTGGAAGCCCTGCTGAGGCCTGGTTAGCACCAGGGATGGCTGGGCTTGAGGCTCATTGGCTAGGAATCAATCTAGATTTCCCACAAGGAAGGTGAAGATTCTACTTCTGCACCACCTCTGCCTTCTGGCATATAGTAGGAGCTCTGGAAGTCTTGGGGAGGAGGTTCTAATTTGAACCTCAAGTGCCGATAAAGCAACTGTTTTCAGACTGGCAACCTCTCTCAGGCAGAGGAAACACAGACATCCGAGGCCCAGTCTGACTAATTATTTTGTTCAACCTTCGACATTATTTGTTAAACAAGTTGGCTAAAACCAACAGTGTTCCCAAGACATCTTGGTAAACGCAATCACTGCCCAGATCTCGTTCCTCTCTAAATAGCGGCAGATTATAAACATGTGTTACT